ACAGTGTGTGCGGTGGGCGCCATGAGGAGGTGATTACAGCGCACTGCTCGCACATCAGCACAGCTCCAGTGTGACGTTAGTGAACAGGCATGTGTGTGTGTTGTAGGATCACTCACCTGTGCAGGGAATACGCACGCAAGCGTGCCGCCTTCGGGAAGCTGCTGAAGGATCATGCGCTACATGTGCAAACGCTCAGCAGACTGGAGGTAAACACACACAGGAGTATAATTTTGCCAGAAAATGTTTTCGAATTTTTGTCATGTTAATCTAAAAAATCTTGTGCAATATAACTTGTGCTTGTTTGTTTGCTGGTTTTTATTGTATTTGTTATACTTGTATTTATTTGAATTGTTTTTGCCATGAAAATAGCCTAAGATGCTGACATGGCATTAAATAAAAATATACTACTACTCTCACACACAAGGGTGTGTCTGCTGTAGCCCTGCTCATGTGTGTGTGTGTATGTGTGTGTGTGTGTGTGTGTGTGTGACAGGTGGAGACTCGCGCTGCATTTCTGTTCGCGATGGAAGTGTGTCGTCTGCTGGGCCGCGAGGAGAACAGAAGCGCTAGCGACAGAGACACACTCCTGCTGCGGCTGCTCACACCCATCGCCAAACTCTACACCGCAAAACAGGTCTCTCTCTCTCTCTCACACACACAGACACACACACACAGACTCACACAAACACACTCACTCACTCACACACTCACTCTCACACACACTAACACTCTCATACACACACACTCACACACTCACTCTCACACACTCTCACACACTCACACTCTCACAAACACACTCACTCACACACTCACACTCACACTCTCACACACACACTCACACACTCTCTCACACAAACACTCTCACTCTCTCACACACACACACACACACTCACACTCTCACAAACACACTCACTCACACACACTCTCTCACACAAACACTCTCACTCTCACACTCATACACACACACACTCTCACACACACACTCACTTACACACACACTCTCACACTCACTCACACACACACACTCTCACACTCTCACACACACTCTCACACTCACACACACTCACTCACTCACACACACACTCTCACACACACTCTCACACACACTCACACTCTCACACACACACACACACTCACACACACTCTCTCTCACACAAACACTCTCACTCTCACGCTCATACACACACACACACTCACACACGCACTCACAATCACACACTCCCACACACACTCACTTACACACACACTCACACACACACTCTCACACTCACACACACACACACTCTCACTCACACAAACACTCTCACTCTCACTCTCACACTCATACACACACACTCACAATCACACACTCCCACACACACTCACTTACACACACACTCACACACACACTCTCACACTCACACACACACACACTCTCACTCACACAAACACTCTCACTCTCACTCTCACACTCATACACACACACTCACAATCACACACTCCCACACACACTCACTTACACACACACTCACACACACACTCTCACACTCACACACACACACACTCTCACTCACACAAACACTCTCACACTCATACACACACACTCACACACACACACACACTCGCATTCTCACACACACACACACACACTCACACTCTCACTTACACACTCACACACACTCTCACACACACACACTCACACACATACTCTCACACTCACACACACAC